CGGCCACCGCCATCGGCCACCGCCATCGGCCACCCCGTGTGCCGTGCCCGCCGCCACCTCCGCGTCCCCCGTGCAGGCAAAGCTGCACCCGTTTAAGCTAAACCCCCTGTAGACGTATTTATTTCGGTTTAATAGGTGTTTATGGTACGTTAGCCCGAACCTGTTCCTAATCAATCCGAGCTTAATCAAAGTAACGCAGATTTATACCGGCCCCGGTGCCAACGGAGCAGGTGTTACCTCGCACCTGTGGCTAAGCCGGCGGTGGAGCGGCCGGGGAGCCGCAGCCCCGGTGCCCCGGGTCGGGCCGCTTGGGGCGGGAGGGCGATGGCTCTGCCCGGCCAGCGCTGCTTTGCCCTCCCTGCCTTCCGGGCCGGACCGACCGCTGCCCCGATGGCCAGAGCCAAAGCACGCCAAGCTCAACAGCCGTCCCCGGCAGGATGGAGAAAGAGGAAGTTACGGCACAGGGATGTCGGGGAAGGCTTTTTTCATTTTCTGTCCTGGCTCACGCTAGGAGCACATGGTCGTGGTAACAAGGCACAGCGTCGGGAGAAGGAATTACCTCATGGAATTGCAAGCACTTTCCAAGTAAAGGTGGAGTCTTGGAGCAAACAGGAGATCCAGCTGATAGTGGTTGATAAGCCCAGGCAGTATCGCATTGCTGCTTTGCTTACCTCAGAGACGCCTCAGTCCTTGTGGAGCAGGAAGAGGAGACTCTCCAACACTGGCACCCAGATAAGGAGCCGTCTCCTCCTTCCTGCAGCCAGCAAGCCAGCGGCTTGGCTCACAAAGCAGCAGTTTCAGCACAGGCTTCTCCTCTAATGGATCCTGTTTTCGACTCGCTGAGCAACAAGCCCACAACTTTAGAATTTCAGAGCTCATTGAAGGAAAGCTGCTTTTTGTCTTGCATAGCAGTTAAATTAATCTGGAAAGCCAGGACAAAATGAAGTTATACATGCCTTCAAAATAAAGACCAAACCAAACCCCACCACTCAGATGGTGCTCGGCAAAAAACAGGACGAATAGGCAACTGTACTTTTCTTCTGTGATCCTACTGAAGCCTTCTACTA